CCCGCCGCGCAGAAATGTCTCTCGCGAGCAGGACCCGCGCGGCGGCCGGGGCAGCCCAGCTCTGTCCAGCCCCGTCTTGGCGCCCGCCCAGTGACAGCCGCTGCCCAGGTCCGGCCTAGCCGCCCCCACCCGTTTCTCTGTGAATGGAGGTGACGGCGCCCCGGCTCTGGTCTGCCGCCGTGCTTCCTGTGCCCCGGACACCTGTCCTTCGTGCCTTGCCTCGTAGGTTTTGATGTCGCCAAAACGGGTGATGCCCGGATCGGTTTTGTGGGCTTCCCGTCGGTGGGCAAATCGACTCTGCTGAGTAATTTGGCTGGTGTGTACTCGGAGGTGGCGGCGTACGAGTTCACGACGTTGACCACGGTGCCTGGGGTCATTCGATATAAAGGAGCAAAGATACAGGTGACGCACCTCTGCCTGCAGGAGCAAGGGGGTGGGGTAGGGTGGGGTCTAGCTTGGTTCTGGCTGGGTAGTCCGGTCTGCCATTCAGAAGTTAGAGGCAGCATAGAGTAGAGTATCAGTGCTCATTGTTTTGGCCCCACAATCCAGATGAATGACACAAGACTGGTCTGTGGGCCAGATCAGCCCCCACATTGTCCCCATTTGGTCGGGATCAGGTTCCAGGGGCCCTGTGTGCCAGGACTGGGCCCCACACCATCCTGTGTGACATGTCTAGTGATCGGAGCCCCGGCCTGTAGGGCTCTCCACAGATCCAGATGACAACACGCTGGGGGCCCAGATGACAACACGCTGGGGGCCCAACCTGGCCCATGGATCCAGGGTTGAGCACCGCTGCCAGAAAAGATGGTTTGAGGATATATGCACACTTAAAACCTTTTTACTGGTTTTAAATTTAAATAATTTGTGGTACTTCATGCTGCTTCAGTGAGAAATTACTGGCACAAGGCAATTCTTCCATGTTCTATATAGCCGAAATGGCTATATTCTATTCTGTTGTAAAACAGGAAAAACAGTAAAACAGGCTAAGTATTATATTCAAAGAGGAGGGAATCCTAATGACTTACTCAAATTTTCATTAGGCTGAGTTACTATTACAAGCAAAGATGGGGTGTGTTTCATTTTTTGGGAGGGAGGGGAGGTGGCATTCTCACTGTAATGGAGTTTGTTCTTTATTTTCAAATGTCCAGCTTCTTGATCTCCCAGGAATTATTGAGGGAGCTAAGGATGGGAAAGGGAGAGGTCGACAAGTCATTGCAGGTGAGCTTTGAAGGGCTGGGAGCTCGTTTTAGCCATTATTTTATATGCTAACGGAAGGGTGAGGTTTCACAATGATTTCTCTCTGGGCCCTTGGATGCCTAGTATACGGTCAGTGTGTCTTATGTCAGAAATGAGTTACTAAATTTGTAGGTAGTGGGGGGAACAGTCATTTTTCACTTTCATGCCTATGTTGCTTGAAGGTCGGGGCTTGCTCAGCTCTTTGTGCTCTGTATTTTCCTAACTGCTCAGAAGTATGCTAGCACTTCAAAGTCAGATACATTCCCACATTAAAGAAGGTGTTTGTTTTAATATCTCTGGCACACTTGATGCTATGCTATAGTTGTGTGTAAACACAGACAGCAGGCTCTGTCCAACCAGTCAGATTATTTAAGACAGAATCTGATTGCATTAGTGATAAATGTCCAAACTCAGTCTGGTAGTACTGGACCAAAAAAGGATGGAAGTCAAGGCACATCACCAAAACTGCAAAAATAAGATGCAATTCATTTCCCACTGGTTTTCATGAGCTTTGCTGACTTCTGCCGGGGTGAAGTTAAGGTGAGATATCGGTCTTCCAATGACACTTGCTCATCTGACTTGCTAATTTAGTGGCCCTGAAGAAAGAAGTCCTTGGTAACCATGGTGCAACCTCTTCATAATGAACTTGCAGGGGATTGGGGGAAAAATGAATTAAAAGAGGGTTGTTTGCCATAATAATTAGTAATTTTACTGTAACATAATGAAAAGCTTGGTTCCTGCTGTTGGTGTTCTTAAAAGCAAGGGGGGAGCGGTTTTATAATAAGACTGTACAGTACATCATTCTGCATAAAAATTCTTTCATTCTTTCATTTGTAGGCTTCTGAACTTGTTAACAAGGGCATAAACTTAAGTAGATGTAGGTCAGACCAGATGTCTGCAGGTCCCACCTGATTTTTTAGCCTGTGAATTGGAAGGGTGTTTATTAGGGGTGCACTGTCCTGGGCCCTGCCCCAGCTGGGCAGCACCTGCCCCAGCTCCACTCCCCCCCTCCCCTTTCCTTCTCCCACCCCTTCCCCACCAACAGACTTAGCAGCTGGACGCTGCTTTCCAAGCTGCTGTGCACATGCACTTAGCATTTGTAGTTTACATTGTCAGCCACATCAGCCAAAAAAGCTGATTGCCAGTAATGTCTATTTTCCTTTTATCAGTGCTGATATGATATGGACCGATATATCGGTGCGCTTCTAGTGTTTATTTCATGGTAAAGTAAATATTAGGCAAGGGCCTAGGACTAGAAACTTGGCTCTTGTAGGCCTCTGTATTTCAAAAACATAACTCATTGTAATTATTATCAGGTTAGGCAGGGTTTATCTCCTTGATGGTACCAAAGTCTGTCACCGAGAGGTGAATTAAGGTGTACTGGGGCCCTGAGCAAACACAAAATTGGAGGTGCCCTCCCCCCACAGGAGTTGCATTGCAAAGCGGGGGAGGAGATTGATTACTTGATTACTATGAGGCAACCCCCTACCCTCTGGGCCGCCACCCCCCCTGCGCGCACGCAATGAGCCACCCGTGGCTCTGTCTTGCTCCCCACCTGTTGCACTGACTTGTAGGCATCCGGCTGTGCCTGGGCAGCCTTCGCTGTAGGAGTGTCACGCTGCTGGGAGGGGTGGCTACGGGGAGCTAAGATGAATTTGGGGGGCTATAGCCCCCTTAGTGCTGCTATCCTCCTGCAGAGGCGTGGTGCAGCACTTCCAGCCTGGCTTCTCACACCGAAGGCATGGCGCTGTGTTGCACTCCTGGCCAGCCCGGCCCCAGCCTGCACCCCCCAGCCCCACTGGGGGAGGGGCCCTCTCCCAGCTGCAGGGAAACACATGAAAGCTAAAGGTTTTAAATTTGGCATCATTTTTTGTCTCCCTGCTGGAGACAAAACCACGCTTTCACTTTCTTGCGGATGAGGATCCTGGGGCCGGGGCCTCTGGGCTCGTGCCCAGCTGGCCCGTGTACTAATCTGCCTATGCTGTCACCACCCATTGAACCAGTTCTTGGATGCTTTGATATTTACTTAATTGTACAGTGCTCTGGCAAAGATGTATGTGTATAATCTTTTCTGGGATAATTTTTCTCTCTGATCCTCAGTTGCTCGAACATGTAACCTAATTCTGATTGTTCTGGATGTGCTAAAGCCCTTGGGACACAAAAAGATCATTGAGAATGAGCTGGAGGGCTTTGGAATACGACTGAATAGCAAGCCCCCCAACATTGGCTTTAAGAAGAAAGATAAAGGAGGCATCAATCTCACAGCCACTGTAAGTTGGAAATTGCAACATGCTGAATGGAAATGTCACTTCTAGAAAGCATTGTTGTCGTGTTGCCCTGAAGTGTACAAGGTATGTGAGATACTGCGAATTGAGTTTCTGTTGCCAACAGCGCTGAATTCCAGTGTCTCAAAATGCAGTTACTACTTCTTAGTACCAGTGCACAATGGCTTATAGGTATTAGTATCAATGACTGCAGTATCTGACTATATGCAAACTCTTCCTTTTCCCACCTAATGTTGTCTTTTATATTCAGTGCCCACAGAGTGAGCTAGATACTGAAACAGTGAAAAGCATCTTAGCAGAGTACAAAATTCACAACGCTGATGTCACGCTGCGGAGTGATGCTACTGCAGATGACCTCATTGATGTGGTTGAAGGAAACAGGTACTGTATCAAAGTAAAGACATGGTTACCACATGTAGTCAAATTACAGAACTGAAAAAGCCTATCGGTCAAAATCTGTTTCCAGTACAAGCCAGGTTATTTGTGTGATGCACCAAGTCATTGTTTGTAGCCACCCTCAAAATGGTATATCCCCCATTCTCTTCCCTTCCCCAGACAAGGATCCACAAGGTGGCAGGGAGTATTCTTATACATTGCTACCGCTTCTGTACTGCTTTGTTTCCTACTCTTTGCAGAGTTTACATCCCGTGTATTTATGTGCTGAATAAAATTGACCAGATTTCCATTGAGGAACTAGATATCATTTACAAGGTACCTCACTGCGTACCAATCTCTGCTCATCACCGTTGGAATTTCGATGATCTGTTGGAGAAAATTTGGGACTACTTGCAACTAGTGCGAATGTGAGTGTTAATTGTTGCTGAATTCCTGCATAGTTGGTTAGAGGGCTTGCAGAGACTTCTATGCCTTGGAGTCCTCATTCTCCTGTTCTAGGAATAATGGCTTCCTGTAAGCTCATACAGAACGTTAGCCCTCAAATGCTCTAGTCTGTTATCAGCATTGGTTTGATTATATTGTATATTGTTTTTTTCTGCTGTGTGACTCAGATGCAGACGAAGGAGCAGTTTGCTCAACACACTCAAATACTGGGATTTAAATTTATTTCCTAGTAGGAGAATGAAGGGGATGCTCTGTGGGGACAGCTTCTGCCATCTGCATGAGAGCTCAAGTTGAGGCTTAGGGCTATGGGAAAATGAGTTGTTATGTTGAGTTAAAAGGAAGAGGGATGTTCTTTTTTTGGTTAACTTGACTAATTTCTTTACATTGTAGCTATACTAAACCTAAAGGACAGTTACCAGACTACACCTCTCCTGTGGTGCTGCCTTACTCCAAGACCACAGTGGAGGATTTTTGCATGAAGATACACAAAAATCTCATTAAAGATTTTAAGTAGTAAGTACCATAGGAAAAGATTGGGCCAAACTATCCTCTACTTCCAGTGTCTTTACAGTGGTGCATTCTGAGTTGTGATTTTTATTTCTTAAAAGTTATTCACTAGCAGCAGGATTGAAACTTGAAGAACTATAGGACTTGAATTTGCTGTCACTGAAATAGCCTTTTATGTACATCTTTGTGCTAGTATCTGGAATGATTCAATTTTAGTGTTTGTATGCTGTTCTGTAGCTTCCTTGCTTGCTGTTATATCCCTTCCTGGTAGGAAAGCCACTGTTTTTAAAGCATGAGAATGGTATTGGTCTACAGAGTCTTGAGCTCTGTAGCTATGGTTTGGTATTAATGACCCCATCCATACCTTTTGTCTGCTTTTGGAGTTGATGCTTGGAGCCTCTGGGACAGGTACTTATGTAAGGTATTTTGTATAGATAACCCCCCTAGGGACAGAATAGTAGCTGTCATTGTTCTGTGGTATTTCAAAAGTTCATTGCGTCTTTTTTTTCCCTCTCTCTCCTTCAGTGCACTGGTTTGGGGTTCATCTGTTAAACACAACCCACAGAAGGTTGGCAAAGATCACACGCTTGAGGATGAGGATGTCATTCAGATTGTAAAGAAATAAAGTTGTCCCCGATCAATTGCCACAACAACTGGCATTGTTATTGTGACTCTTTCTATATACAGTCAGTTTTGAGTGGCTAAGTGGAGAGGGAGTTACTTTGTTCTGGTGCTCACTTGTATATCCAGATGGTTGCTGAAACGCATGGTTGAAAATTGGATAAAAAACTGAGGAGTCTATGCTGCAAAAGGGTAGTCTCTCTGCTATGTGTTTATCACTTGTCAGGGTTATAAAATCCACACACACAAGTAGGATTTCTCTTATGCCTGTATAAAATTCATTTCTTTGTAAGCTGTGCTTTTATGTTCCATCTTACAGTGTGTCTTTAACAATAAGAGAAGGCCTGACTCTACCAACCTTAATGTAAAGGGATCCCTATTTAGGCATTAAAGGCATTGAGTTCACTGCATCCTTGGACACCAAACTCTTCAAACCTAGGTGTATAGCTTGATGGTACAACCTACTGAACCACTTGACCTAATGTTGTCTTTTGTTATAGACAGGTACACAGGATAGATTTGATTTAAATCATTCTTGTTGTTTGATATAACAAACACATATCATTCACAACTCAGAAATAGATGTAGGTTTCATTTTTAGAAGGTACATGCTATACATGTTAAAGCAGTGATTTTTTTTTTTTAATATTTTTTCAGATTAATTTTGCAGCTACATCAAAAAACTGAATTATGAATGGGTTATTTTATTTAACAAGGCTAATTGAAGCAGTGCACCTCCCAATGACTTCACAAGTATCCCCAATTTACTAGATTAATCATGGATATATGGGGGATGTTTTTGCCATGCTGTATTAGGAGGACATCAAATGAATGATGCAGCTATATGTTATTAGCTTGGGGCTTTCTTCACTTTCTTTTAGGGGTGCACCGATCAACTTTTTTTTTTTTTGTTTGTTTTTGGCTGATATCAGTGGCCAATTATTAACCACTGGCTGAAACCAGTCCAATAGCAGATATGCAGCCTGGCAGCTTGAAGTGCAGCATCTGGTCGGTGAGTTCGGGGCGGGGGGCAGACTAACATGGTGAGGGAGGGGATGGGGCTGAGGCAAGGTGGGGTGCAAGATGGAGCTGCTGGGGGTGTCAGGAAGGGGGAGGCATGGGGGGCATGTGCCCCCAGGTTTGTGTGTAAGGTAAGGGCGGGCTGCCTGTTGTGGGTTCTGAGCCAGGGGCTGGGTGGGTGGCGGTGGCACTGAGGGGGTGGGGCTGTGGGGCAGTGTTGGCACTGGAAGGAGGGCTGCAGGGTGGGCTGTAGCCTCCCTTCCCACTAGTGCCACCACTGCCCATCCTACCCCCACCCACCCTGAGCACAGCCCTGGCCCAGCCCCGCTACTGAGAAGAGGCCAGTGCAGCTCCTGGCACTGAGCCCACAGCAGGCAGCTCACCCTCACCTTGCATACAAATCCAGGGACACATGCCATCCTGGGGTGCGAGCAGTGGCAGGAACTGCCTCCCTCCTCACTCTCCTGTGCCCCGCTGGAGGAGCCACCTGTGGCCCTACCCTGCTCCACTCCCTCCCTCTCACCACGGGGGCCTTGATCTGGTGCCCCCCTGCCACAGACTTACTGGCTGGATGCTGGTCTCCAGGCTGCCAGGTTGCATTCCTGGCTGAATACATGCTGCAGCTGTGCACATGTATGTTGTGCTTGGCTACGCAAGCCAAAAAAAGACTTGCCGATTTTAATGTCAAGTTTTCTTTTACTGGTGCTGATCCCTTATGGACCGATTTATATCGATTCACCTTTACTTTCTTCTAATCTTTGATTTCTTATCTTATATCATAGTTGCAGGCTCGTCAGGCTGTAAGTTTTCCCTTCTACCATATCATTCCCTCGCTAGATCTCAAATCGATGGAGAGGCTATACTCAGAAACTTATCCCTTAAGATTTCTGGAATACTCTGCTCAAAATGGTTCTTGTTTCCACTGCCCCTCCCTCTTATCTCCAGGTTCTTCCTCCTTACCTACTCCACTGCCAACAATCTTCTGTTCGTTTAACTTCTTGAAACTTTGCACTTTTAGAGAAAAGTGAGGGCTTGACTTGTTTGTGTGCACAAACTTGTAGAGATGCAGTAGGGCTGATAGGTAGGTAATCGGGTCTGTTAGCTTTCATCTCCATATACTGCTGTTAACAAGGATGTTCTCTGGAGGCACAAATTCAGTTTGAGAACTGAAACTAAGCATCACAGCAATGCTTCATGGGATTTTCTAGACTGAGCATTGAGTCCCATTGGGTAGAGTGGTTTTCTTTAATCTTTACTAACCTATAGAGGAAACATCCTAAGATTGGGCCCCTTATATAGTCCATGGTCTGTTGTGACCTATATATAGAACTGTTCTAAAAAGGTTACATGAATATATAGTCTCAAATAATATATAATTAGAAGTTATAAGCCCTGTTCCATGCTGATATGTTTGAGCTTTAACATACCTTAAATTAAAACTATCTTTATGTAGATTAATTTTTAAAATTAAAATGCACCTTAAAAAATAAAAAAGACTAAGTAAAAAAAATCTGATTTAAATTTAAAAAAATGTTTTTAATTTATTTATTTTTAATCACTGATTTTTGTCTACCCTGCAAAGTACATCAAAGACTCCCTCTATTCCATACCTGGTAGTTGACTTCACTTTCCCCAGGGGTGACAACAGTATGACTATTTTGTAACGCTAGGGAGTAGCAGTAGTACTGTTGCTTTTTTCTATTTTTGGTTTTCTTGTCCAATGTTATAGTTTTACTAAGACAAGGTGAGTTCACAGTTTGTGGAAGAGTAAGCTTTATGGTTAGATGATCCCTGACTCAACCTCCTTTCTTGGTAATGCAGAAGTCTTCTGTTGAAACTTTCAGCAAGCAGTCTTTCTTGGAAATTAGATTACTGATGTTGCAGACAGTAAGTTCATTCAGTGTTCTAGCAAATATAAAAACTGCCACAACTCCAAAAACAAGGCTTTGTCTACAGCCATCATTTTACAGGTGTTTTGTATGCCTTTTAAAGTACTGCTTTTGGATGTATAAATACTAGGGTGGATGCTGATTTGACAGGCATGCTGCAATTGGTATACATTTGTGTGTACAGTGGCAGGGAGGTGTTTACTGAAGCATCTGTTTACTTTTGGCTTTGGAGATGCACGTTAACATTTTCATGCTAAAGTTAGAATCTGTTCAGTGCAAATGCTACTGAAGTAGTTAACTGGAAAAACACTTGGTATCTGAGCTTGCTAAAGAGCTTCAGCAATGCCTTCTAATAGGCAAATCGTTGTCCTATAGAAGAGCATTACAGCAGCCTCTCCTGGTGGATAATCAGATCTGGCTGGTTACTAGACATAATTCCTGCGACCAGTGTGTTACTGCTCGTAGAACAACCTGTAAACTTGTTTATAGTAGTAGTTAAAGTTTAGTAACTTTATACTAGCTAAATGATGTAGTTATAGCTCCCTCACTAGATTTGCTAATTTCTAGCCCCAACAAGCCTGCTCCACTTTCTTCCTGAAAAAGGACACCAACCTTAAAAATGTAACAGGAAAAGCTTTTCATGCTTTGGAGGCCTAACCAGCTGTAACCCCCTGGATCTTGGTTTTCTCTGTTTTAAAAATACAAATATTTTCTGATTTAAAACCCCAACGTGTTTTTTCCACAATTGAGGTGAAACACCACTATATATAGGTATCAGTTGAACACAATGTTGTATAGATGTATTTACAGTTTTAAAGCAATTTGGAATCTAACATGCCTCAATTATAATTAAAATACATTCTAGATACCTATATATTTTTGTGGGTTTTTTGTGTTTAATCATAGAAAGTCAGATCTCCCTCTGTGCCCTTTGCTTAGCTGCAGCTGGACCTGTATCATGGTGTCTCCCCATCCCCACTGGTCTCATTCCTGGCCCACTCCCACCCTATCACCCTAGTGTGCGAGAAGGAATAGGTGTATGGGGAAGAGGGGTAATATCATATGCAAGTGCAGTAAAAACAAACCAAAGCCCCTCCAGAAAAACCTATTTGCAAGACTTACTGGGTCACAAAAAAAACTTCCCTCTGTAAGCTCAAAAGAGATAAGCCTAGATAAGTTCTGAAGACACATTTTGTTTAAACAAGTACACAATCTGACAGTTGAAAGAATATTGTACTTTAGCTGTTTATATTTTAAATGTTCTGGGGTAAAGTATGCTACTGTGTGCTTTCTATACCAGTGGTTCTCAACCTTTTTTTGTACCAGGACCCATTTGTAAACATCAATGGCCAGTCCTGACCCAGTACCCCTCACTCCAGACCTAGTGCCTCCCCAGACCCCAATCCCACCAGTGTGGGGCAGGGCAGGGGCCAAGCAGCCCTTTGCAGGCTGAAACTGTGACAGCCCGCAAGGGAAAAGCCATACTTTCCCATATTTTTCACCTTCAAAGGAAAATCAATGTTTTTAAAGCTTGTTGATCTGTTTTTTAAGTTTTGTTTGTGACCTTTTCATATATTTTTGCAACCAACTTTTGGGTCGCAACCCACAGGTTAAGAAATGTTCTCTATAGCCACCACCTTCTCTCATAGTGCCCCAGAGGAATTAAAATCTACATGGAGCTTAACCGGAACTGTTTCTTGTTGGTTATGGAGATATTTTGCACAGGAACTACAGTTTACTGAGGCTTTAAATCACATAATTGAGATGCACTATTATAGTAAGCCTATTTGTTCAACTATTAAGTCTTAAATAGAAGGCAGCTATTTCATTGTCTGATACCTTAAGAAGAAATACAAAACATTGCATGGATATAGCACTTCAAAGAAAGGGTATGTTATAGCAGCTACAGTACCAAACAAAGACCATTAATAGATTGGAAGGGACCTCAGATGATCATTGGGTCCTGCACCAAGCAGGAAAGATACCTTGCTGGGGGAACCCAGCCCCCAGTTAACTGTCTAGTCTCCACCTGAAGATTTCCAGGGTAGGTGATTGCACCACCTCTGGAGGGAGCTTATTCCACAGTCTGGACACCCTAGCTGTGAAGAAATTTTTCCTAACGT